TTGGCAACATTTGATAGCATTGGGCTAGAGTACCCAAAGTCGGATCGAAGATAGGCTGGCAGTAAGACCCAGACACCACTACATCTCTCTGCTGCCTAACTGCAGTGCAGCATGGGTGAAGCACCCAGCTCCTTGGCTATAGTCAGTATGGTGAAGTGGGGCACAGGCAAAGCCCTTGGGGACTGAACACTACCAAAGTCCCTACTCCATACACCAGATCCAATGACTCTCTGAGTTGGATCTGGTCCACAGGCTGTAGGTTTCCAATCCCTGGCATAATCTGTACTTCTTTCAAGCAGCAGTAGTTTTATATCCTGTTACATTAGGCAATACTAATGCTCATGTGATCACATCTGTACTGCATGCTGTTTTGGCAGCCTTATAGCTGCTTTCATGTACTGCTTTGCATCCAGCACAAATCATCCAAATTATTTGTCCATGTGCCTGCTACCGTTTTGGCATCATGGTGAACATGTCACTTCTTGTTTTAAATCTGGTGTGAAGCCAGATTGAGTCTTTCTTTAAATCTTGGTGGAACCCTATACCAATCCAGATACACAAAGGTCCTGGGTCTCCTTGTTCTTTGGGAGGGGTGAAGATTCATGGAACTCTGACAATTCAGATCTCAACCCTCTCTAAGGCTGTTGCAGTATTGCAGGTAATTTTCAGCATACAGGGTACAGTTATAGTTCAAGAAAGGTATTGCTCAATGCCTATTGAGGATATTCTATAATTCCTATTATAGGAATATAATAATTATAGGAATATTATAGGAATATATAATTATATAGGAATATAATGATTCCTTTTATAGGAAGGTATTCTATAATTCCTATTGGTGATTTTTCATGTACCCTTTAATCTCCCAAACATTTAATGGCCTGTAGCTACTTAGAATTTAATCAGTTCTTTTTACAAAGGTCCAGTGACAGGCTTCATACCCCATGGTATGGGGGATAAGTAGGGTCTTCCAGAGTAATGGAAAAAATCAACTCCATTAATGTTCATAGAACAGCCACAGGAGCCAATTTAGTTTTATCATTAAAAAAATACTGTATGAGTTCCTGAAAATCCCTATATCATGGCTTTTGCCAGACCAGCTAGCCCCAGTTGATAATCTGGCCTTTAAGAATGATGTAATAGCCCTTCCCTTTTTAAGAATACAGAGGCCTTGCATCAGAAGCCTTGCGTAAGAGGAATACGAATTCCATCAGTTGGCCCTGTGCAGTTAGGGATTTATGTGCATACAAACCCATCCTGAGGATTGATAAGCCATACAATATGTAGCAAAAGCATCTTTTTAATAACAGCATGTGCTTCCATTGGAGCAGCCCTGGTCTGCCCACACCAAATTGATTAGTTGTTAATGGGTAGGTGTTTGGGATGGTGAGCCTCCAGATGGCAGTGGCTGCACACTTCTGAATGAACAGGGAAGCTATCATGTTGATATGCTGCTGCTGCAACTTTTGAGTAAGCTCCGCACAGGAAGCATAGTCTTGGTCATCCGAAGTTCTGTGGCTACTTGCGAGTGTTCTAGCCACGCAAAAGATTCCTTGCTCACTAGCTAACAGTATATAAGTCTAAAAATGACACTGCTGAAAATGACATTGTGGAACTGCTCCAAGAAATGTTCCTTCAGAAACTGTTAGTTGCACTTCCCCTTGTCCTCATTTCTGTTCTTCTCCTGATATAGCATCACACTGGATTGCTGTTGCTGTTGCTGCTACCAGAATCTCAGCCAAGCTGCTCCATAGCATGGCAGCTGGCTCTCAGAGCTTCAGCCATCTGTCAGCAACACGTCAAAAGCATCTGCATAAACTGTTTTTTTCCCCAATTTCCAATGTGAAAACACATAGCACTGTTTTGTCCATAATGGCCAGCTAGTGCCATTTGCAAATGGTGCTGACCTTCCCTCCTCCACCCCCACTGCACTCCTCCCTTGACTCA